TGGTCACCAGGTTTGTACACATCTCAGGAGGGATTTTGGTCCACTCCTCTTCACAGATCTCCAAATTCTGAAGGTTCGAGGCTGTCACTTTGCAACTCAAACTTTCAGCTCCCTCCACAAATTGTTTATAGGATTAAGGTCTGGAGACTGGCTAGGCCACTCCATGACCTTAATGTGCTTCTTCTTGAGCCACTCCTTTGTTGCCTTGGCCGTATGTTTTGGGTTGCTGTCATGCTGGAAGACCCATCCACGACCAATCCTCAGTGCTCCGGCTGAGGAAAGGAGGTTCTTGTCCAAGATCTTACGGTACATGGGCCCATCCATCGGCCCCTCAATGCGTGAAGTCGTCCTGTACCCTGAGCAGAGAAACAGCCCCAAAGCATAATGTTTCCTCCTCCATGCTTGACGATGGGGATTCAGCATTTCTCTCCCTCCAAACACAACAACTCCAGTTTATGCCAAAGAGTTGAATTTGGTCTCATCTGACCACATCACCTTCTCCCTATGCAGATGATGTTATTGTCATGATAAAAAATCATCAAATTTAATAGAAAACATTGTGAAGGATTTTGGTATAGTATCATCTGCAAAATTGAACTGGGGGAAAGGTGAAGGGTTAACAGTTGGTTTTAAATCACATTTGCTGCCCAACCTACCAGCAGGACTAACATGGGGAAGAAATGGTTTTAAGTATCTTGGTGTGTTTTTAGGGGATGAGCTCACTGTACAGAAAAACTGGGAGGGGGTGGTGGAGAAAGTGAAGGGGAGGCTGGAGAAGTGGAGGTGGCTGCTGCCACAAATGTCATACAGAGGAAGAGGAAGAGTGCTCATCATAAACAACTTGGGCCGTATCCGAATTTCCAAGTACATACTGAATCTTTCAGTATGCAGTAGGCAGTATGCAGTACGTACTATCCGTGCTGCATACTGTTAGTACCTACTATTCAGTATGCACACACAGTAGGCAGATGTTTGTGCCTACTTCTTCTGATTCATTCAGTATGGAAGTGACGTCATTTACGTTTCCTGAACCGGCCGCACCACTGTTTTTTGGGGGGTTTTTTTGTTTATCTTTATTCAAGAAGAGTAATGCGCATATACAGTCGGGTAAACAAAAAACAATATCACAATGTAAATCAAGTAAAAGGCAGATTAAATAACTAAATAACATACAGTACATAAAGGAAAGTACAAATGAAAGACAGTAATATACAGAATATAAACTAAACCAATAAAGACGCATTTAAATAGTGAAATCATTATTTAAATAGAGGGGGAAAGGTTTTATAATAATGCAGATATTTGTTATATTTTCTGTTGTTAATTTAAAGTAGTGATTTCAGTCGGGACTTTAACTCTAGATTCAAAATTGATTCAATTAATCCACGCTCGTTTGTTTTGATTTGGAGGCGGACGTGACGTGACGATTTACGTTTAATTTCGCACAGCATTGTAGGTGGTAAAACACAATTCATTTCCTGAAAGCACGCATCCGATCCATACTGCATGAAACCCGGAAGTTAGTATCCACACTGAAATGTTCAGTATACTGAGGTGGACCCTAAAAATGCATCCTGAATGACCACTAAAGTTCAGTATACTGAAACTCCCGACTGAATAGTACGTACTGCATACTGAACTGTGACAATTCGGAAAAGGGCCCGGGTTTCCTGTGGACTCTGGCACAATATGGCATCTATAGAGCCCCCTGCTGGACTCCTTAAACAACTGCAATCGGTGATGTTGGACTTTTCTGGGACAAGCTGCATTGGGTTCCACAGGCCGTGCTGTTTTTACCTAAAGAAGAAGGAGGGCAGGGTCTGGTCCACCTGGCCAGCAGAGTAGCCGCCTTCAGAATCCAGTTCCGACAGAAATTCTTCACCGGCCAAGCTGATGTGGTCTGGAGACCAGTGGCCAGCAGCATTTTTAAAAAAGTGAATGGACTAGGACTAGACTCCTCACTGTTTTTAATGAATACTGACTGTTTTAATCTATGAAACCTGTCTGCTTTTTATCAGCGCCTTTTTAAAACCTGGAAACTGTTTTTATGGAAAAGACTAGAGCCCACACTGTCCCTACACTGGCTGCTGGAGGAGCCTCTGATCTATGGGGCCCGGCTGGATGTTCAGGACACATCTTTAATGGGCCTCACGCATGCTCTCATCTCCACTGACAACACCACACTGAGACAGATCGTGGGCATAGCTGGACCTGAACTGAACAATACAGCAGCAGTGACCTCTGCTCTTGGTCGCCGGTCTGCATGTTTTGTGGACAGAGTGCTCAGACTGTTGCGTCTCAGACTGACGGGGGAAGAGAAGGAGATGCTGCAGGATTACTAGCAGGAAGGAAGTACCTATTGATAGTGATCCTTTTCCTGAAATAGGCCTCACAATGAATTCTTGTGTTTCAAGTGAAATACATTCAAAAGGGACTGATGATAAAGGTTTGACTTTTCTAATGTCAGAGGTAGGGAATTGTTTTGTGTGTGTGTTAAAGTATTAAATGAGAATGTACTGAAAAACAGAGTGGACACCAAGTGGAGACAATGGTTGAAAGTGGCTGACCACATCAAGCCATGTGGAGTTTTTTTTTTATAAAAGCCCTCTGAACAAGAGATCTGGTGATCTGCAATGGAGGATTTTAAATGGAGCAATAGCCGTAAACTCTTTTGTCTCTCATTTTAATCCTTCTGTGTCTGATCAGTGTTTCTTTGTGGGTCTGTGGAAACAATTTTTCACTGCTTTTCAGAGTGTGTCAGCTCAGCGATCTGTTTGGGGTTTTAAAGAAGGTTTTTATGGAGAGACATGGTCAAAAACAGTTTTTATCTTTGGAGCAGGGTACAACAAAATGAATGCGGTTAAATGGAAACTTTTAAACTTTTTATCAGGACAAGCAAAACTGGCAATCTATCTTAGCAGGAAGAAACAGTTGGAGAACAGGCAAGGAAAGAAAGTGACCGACCTCTTCCTTTCCTTAGTGAGAGCCAGAGTCTGGGTGGATTTTAATTTCTTTAAAGCGATGACCAATATTAAAGATTTCATTGAAACATGGTGCTATGGAGGGATAATCTGCTCTGTAGAAGACAAAAAACTCATCTTCAACCTTGTTTTTAGCATCTAAAAAGTCAATTGTGTGATATTAAGTGTTCAGTTTTCTTTTTCCTGTATAAAAGTATGTTGTTAATTGTCGTTAATTATTGTAAATAAAGTTGTTTTGTAAAAATCAAAAATCTCTCTACTGATCCCAGGGCAGGTAGAATAACCTGTGTCAACGTTTCTATAACCTTGAACAGCAATATTAAATATTAATATAATAATCTCAAACAAAACATAATTATTGATGTTTTCTTCTGTAATGTGGTACATTTAAATATTTCCATGTGCCAACATGCAGTTTGCAATGACAGAGTTAACCCCTCTGCTTAATGTACTTTTACATTTTATGCGTTAACATGCAGTTTTCTATAAAAGTACCTTTTTTTGGTCATTTTCTTTTAATCATACATTAGCCTATATATCCATGTATTGAGTTATAGTGATGTCTGCAAAATTAGTCCGGCCCACTTGGAGGTCTCATTTGAACAAATCCAGCCCCCGACCCAATAGGACTTTGACAAAGTTGTGAAAAGGGTTTGGATATCCTGAGTCCTGGCAGGACTCGCTGTTCTCACTCATTGGCCCTTTCCGAATAGCCACAGTAGGGAGTTTCAGTATACTGAACATTAGTGGTCATTCAGTATGCATTTTTTGGGTCCACCTCAGTATACTGAACATTTCAGTATGGATACTAACTTCCGGGTTTTATGCAGTATGGATCGGATGCGTGCTTTCAGGAAATTAATTGTATTTTACCACCCACAATGCTGTGCGAAATTAAACGTAAATTGTCACGTCCAAATCAAAACAAACAAGCGTGGATTAACTGAATCAATTTTGAATCTAGAGTTAAAGAGCCCATATCATGCCCTTTTTGGGGTTCGTATTTTTAATATATGTATCTACTTTTGTACGTTCACAATAGCTAAAGTCTGAAAAAAGTGTCTGTTTTCATGTACTGCTCCTCCTTGCTCCTCTACGCTCTGAGTCCGTCAGCTACGCTCTGTTGAGCCCACACTGTTAGACCCCACGTGGGCCAACTCTGCTCTGATTGGTCTGCCGATCCGCTCTGTCGTTATTGGTCAGTTGCTCAGCACGCTTCTCGGAAATTTCAACATGAGCTGCAGGGCTTGCCACAACGAGCCAATGGGCTTAGATCAGTGATCTCACACTGACAATGACGTCGGACTGACACATTTTTTTCGAAGGGGGCTAGAACCGAGCGTTACATGCAGCTAATGCTACAGCTAACAGGAGGACGTAGGAGAAGCCACGTTTCCGCGGACTTTGAATTTGTGCCTAAACATGCACAGGACACTTGAAAATGACATCTATCCATTTAATCACTTCTTGCATTTGAGATTTAATTTGAATAATAACTCGTGTGGATTTTGTGAGAGGGGTATTTGGACTGTAGTAGATCATGTTTTTCTTCCATTGTGAACTTTGGCTTGTACGACGGAGGATTAGGGCCATGTTTAAAAAAAATAAAAAATAAATCACGTAAATTAACGATTCGAGACCAGCCTGCGCAAAAATTATGAAAGGAAAACTCTTCAAGCCTTTAACAAATAAAGTCGTTATTTAAGTCTTTATAAGTGCAGCTGCAGCCTGTTCTCAAATGACAGACGTGGAGCATCTTGTTATACTTTAGTAAAGGTTTCACTAATAAGGAAATAGGCTCCTTCCTTGTGTAGTTGGTAAAAAACAGTTATAGAGAAGTTTTCACTTCAACTTGCAAGAACTTGTTTATCTGTAAAATGAAGTATGAACAGGACACAAACTGGCTCTGCACATGAAACACTTCAACAAGGCAGACAAGTGCAGATAACAGACAATTACACTGAAAGAGGAGGAGCTCCAACATGTTTTTCTCTGTAATGAAAGTGAAAGTTAGTGAAAGTGAAAGTCACATCAGTGAGCTGCATCGAGACGAGTCTCTCTGTTTCTCTCTGAAGACAAATTCAACTGAAGGTTTTTCTCACAAACACTGGTGAGTACACTGAACTACAAACCAAAAACACTGAAGTGAAAAGGATGTTTTAACTCGACCACTAAACAAATACAAGCCAAACAATAGTGACTGCACTCAGACGAGTCACAGCTAGGCTAATCTTAACATAGTAACAAACTTTTAACCTTTTTCCTGCTATTAACAACAAACCAGATTTCATTCCACAGTCTTAGTGGTTGAGTTGGTTCTGACATACATGTTTACAGCGCTCGCTATATTTAGTCATCACGGAGAAAACACAGGATAAACTGGTTTTGCTTCAAGCTAACTAGCCTGGCTGAGTTGATCTTTGGAGTCTCTCAGTGATTTAAAGTTCAGTAGAAAGTCAACAGCACTTTGTTTTATTCTTCTGAACATTTAAGTGGAAAAATGGGGTTTGACCACTTAAATGGAGGTCTGGGACAGTGCCGTTTCACATGCCCTGTCCCAGACCTCCATGTGTCATTAAAGAGGTGTGTCTGCCAAGAAAACCCAACAATCGTCGTACAACATAATCAACATATTCTTTGACTGTCTTAATTTGACAAATTTTTACTTTTTTCCCTCAGGTTGTTAAAATGTCTGCTGCCAGCTGTCTGCTGACTGAAGATCAGTTCCTGTGCTCCATCTGTCTGGATGTGTTCACTGATCCTGTCACCACACCATGTGGACACAACTTCTGTAAAACCTGCATCACTACATACTGGGATGGTAATGACTGCTGTCAGTGTCCCAACTGTAAAGAGATTTTCTGCCACAGACCTAGGCTGCGGGTCAATACGTTCATCTCTGAGATGGCTGCTCAGTACAAACAGTCAGCTCAACAAAATGAAAGAAAGAACCTTGAGCTGAGTAGGGTCCAGCAGTATGAGGTAGATGTGACACTTGATCCGAAAACAGCGAATCCCTATCTCATCCTGTCTGATGATGGAAAACAAGTTCAACATGGCGATGTAAAGAAGAATCTCCCCGACAATCCAGAGAGATTTAGTTGGGCTACATGTGTTTTAGCAGAGCAGAGTTTCTCTTCAGGCAGATTTTACTACGAGGTTCAGGTTAAAGGGAAGACCGACTGGACTTTAGGAGTGGCCTCAGAGTCAATGAAGCGGAAGGGAGGAATCTCAGTGATGCCTCCGGAAAACTGGACGATATGGTTGAGGAATAAAAACACGTATCAAGCTCTTACCGGGGATCCAGTTAGTCTCTCCCTGAAGTCTGGTCCTGAGAAGGTGGGGGTGTTTGTGGATTATGAGGAGGGTCTGGTCTCCTTTTATGACGTTGATGCTGCAGCTCTGATCTACTCCTTCACTGGCTGCTACTTCACCAAGAAACTCTACCCATTATTCTGTCCCTACAACAACAATGGTGGTAAAAACTCCACGCCTCTGATCATCTCTCCTGTCAGTCACACTGGAGCGAATTCGCAAGGAATCGACTGCATCCACTAATAGCACCAAAAATTAAGCATAATTTACTTAACCTGCTTCATTTCAAGGTCTAATTCACAAAGCATACCTCTTGTAGCCTTCAGCATTTAACCAGGGCCAAGGAAGTGTACCGTGCTTGAGCATGGATCAGAGCACTCACACTAGTCCAAGATATTGGACTGTCTTATTTTACGCTCAGGAGCGAAGCCGGAAATTAATCGGCTTAATTAGCCCGTCTATGCAGTGGCTTCAAGTTTAGGCTTAGCCACTATATTCTAGTCAAAAAAGTGTATGTGCTCTCCGTCTGGCAACACCTATAAAGAATATCACCTTAAAGGTAACATCTGCTGGAGGCTGTAGGACTTTGTCTGTGGGTGCTCTTTGTCTTTTATTTTAATTCATGTTGTTTCTCTTGGTTGTACAGCTCTTGGCTCAACATTTGTGGTTTTTAAATGTGCTTTAAAGGCTTAATATGTAATTTTTCACACTTAAATGTAATAGAAATCAAGTATATCCTCTGAAAATAACTCTGTGAGTCATGACTGTCTACAATGGGTGTAACACCCGAGTCCCACTGTCTTCGATGCTTTCCGAGTTCTCCGAGTCATATCTTCACTTTGTTTACATCGTCAGGACAGCCGGTTGACTCATCCACTCGCATATAAAAGTTGTTTAATTGAGGGACTAGAGAAAAGAAGAATAACATACTGTACTCACTGTGTTTCTAGATCACGCTCATTTCAGGTAAATTGACATGCAGTGTGAAGATACGAGCATAATAAAGATCGCTAGCATTAGCATGCTAACACAACAATGCAGCGCGAGTTGTTTTGGTTTCATGCTGTTGCTCAAGGGGCGACATCTGCTGGATCAAAAAATCGCATATAAAGCTTTAAAAAATAGACTTGACTTGAAATGAGTTTCCTCAAAAGGGATTCTGGGCTCAGCCTTAGAGATAGGTGTGAGGAGCTGGGAGTACAGCTGCTGCTCCGTCAAGATTTTTGTTTCACACATGCTCACACAGATGTGCAGTGAAAAACAGGAACTAGAAAATGCACGGGGGAGAGGGACAACTTGCTTAGCTTGTTGCTACCGCTACCCGGCCACGGATAAGCGGAGGGAAAATGGATGGATGAAGATGAAAGCAGTTTTGTTTTTCATGTTAATATGTAACGTTAATCTTAAATGTGTCACATTGCTGTAGTGCACTGCTGAATGCATCATATGAAGTCAGAAACTAAAGGCAGTCTGCGTGAGCATGGACGCTACATTTAAACCTTGTTATCGGATGATGATTGTTTCTCTAAGAAGTGATAACAAAAAGCTGATGAGCTGTTTTCTAATTAGACAAAAGTGATTTGCTTTTCGCTCTTTTTCTGTTTGAACAAACTTGCGTTGAATGTTTTTGGTGTGTAAAGAAGTTTTATTTTCATTTTCGTTCAAAGAGCCTAATAAAATACAGTTTTTTTTTTACATGACCAGTGAATCATCTAATTTGTAAACAGCTTTCCCAAAGGTGATTTGAGTAGATGAGGTTTAATATGTGACTATTTGAGATAATTGGTGTGTCATTAACAAAAGGAAAAGCTTTGACGCTGAGGAAAAAGAACAACTCATGTTGATTTTCATTTTAATGTTGATGCAAAAGAAAACAAGCAGTCTAATCAGCGGACCTACATTAGTTACTGAGCTCCCTTTTGGGCCACATTAGCATTGTTTCTCTGTCGCCTCAAGTTAAGTCCCTCACTCTTTAATCATGGCTGCCCCTCCCGTAGGAGTTCATTTTATTGTCTCTGAAAGTTTGAAACACTGCAAACACACTTTTCAGACAAAGACTGAGTGTCCGTGTGAGCCGGAGTGTCTCTGCATCGTCGTTCAGCTCAAACCTTCCTGGTCAAAGACCCAGAGTGCAGCCGTCATCTTGCAGCCGAAGAGGAGGATTTATGGAAGAAGTTGTGGATCTGCTGAGCTGCAGCGTGACCCACGATGGGCTCTAGCTCGGCGGGGGAGGCGTTGCAGAGCTGCCCGATGCTGGAGAAGTGCTGCAGCAGGGCCAGAGCTTTGGCCCTGCCAACCCCGGGGACCTGCTGCACCAGAGCGAGGACGAGCGGGTCCAACAGCCGGGACGAACTGCTCCTCCTGAAGGGGTTGTCCCTGCCCTCCCTGTGAACCTGTAGAGGACCAGAGCAGATTCAAACCAGCAGAAGACAACATTTTGGCCTTTTTGTCTGAGGCAGTAGATGACCGTTATTAGCTTGATTAAAGGTTACTCTGCTATTCTAAAACCTGAGCCTTACCTTTACATATTCTCTGTGTGTAAATGAGTAAAGGGAAAAACAAGATTTGAAATTGTTCCAACCAGCTATGATCCTGCTGGGGAATGCAACCGACTAAAATACGTCTGTGGCCTTGCTGAACATTGGTGTTGCTGCCTCAATCAGCTCATGTTCCTGTGTAAGTGTGTGACAGTTACAGTAACATACTGCAACTGAAACAAACTAACCTGCAGAGGCAGCATAAGACCAGAAACTGCATGTTCTGCAAGGTAAAATGACTGTTTTTATCAATGCAGGCTGGTGTTTTTGAAGAGAGCGGTGTAGTAGTTGGTACTGATTAAATATGATCCACGTCTGTGTCTCTGCAGGGATAAACTGTAACCTAATGTTTCAGTGTAATGTCTTGAGGTTCCGTCATTTGTCTTCACTTCATTACCATCTGAGCGAGGAGCTGCGAGGCCTCGGTCTGCCCGCTGATCGGCAGGAGGGTGAGTCCGAGGTCAAACGCCACAAACTTCTGCACAGCAGGGAAGTACTGCTCACTGACTCTGGTGTTCTCCACCAGAACAAGCATCTGGAAACTGCTGCTGTTGCTCTGTGAAACAGGAAAGCAACATTTCATAACAACACAGACAGGCATTTCTCTCACACACACGCATGCACACTGTCAGTGCATCAAACTCACATTTCTGTAGCGAACCAGTTTCCTCTTGTAGCTGTTTCTTGCTATGATGTCGCACTCAGACACGTATAGGATCCTGCTTTTATTTGGCAAGTGGAAATCTGCAGCACCGAGCTCATTCTCAAAGATTAGTTTCACACCTGCACCTGCAGCGGAAGTAAAGCTGGTTAAAAACCAATATATTTACAGTTGGACTTTATGATTGACATTTTGTTTTAGCATTTTGGTTAGAACTCATTAGGAGTTTACAGACCGATGCAGAGCTGGCTAAACACTGAAGCTTCAGTGTGCACCACATGGCAACCTGAGTGAGCATCGACTCTACAGAGGAGGGAGGGGGGAGCAGACAGCCTTCAGGGTATTTTTTGTGACACAGAAATTCATATCTGTATAATCAAGCAGAACGTCACTTCTGATATGGCCGTCTGTCTACTCCGCAGAACCCCCATTTAGAAATATCAACAAATACAAAAAGTCATGTGATAGTAACATTATGCTAAACATTTAAATTCAGGAAACTGGTTTAAATCACTCTTTAGAGCACAGCCTCTATATCGGGTTTGGTAAAATCCACTAAAAACAGCTTATACCTGTAAAAGGCAAATTGTAAAGCCCTGCATTTATAACTGAGCTGCGTATGGCGAATAACAAAAAGGTTTTATATGACACTTTTTGGCCAATTTATGTAATGACATCTAAGCCGAATTGAAGACAGTATCTATTAGAATGGGACACGTGTACATTCATATTAAAAAACACGTTTTAATTCGAACTTGAGAAAAATAAGTGTAAAGAGTTATATGTCCAAGGAGCGTTTTCTGCGCAATCTGGTTGTTTGGTTGTAAAATTAACGGCAGAGACATTAACTAGCGTTAACTTCAAGTCGTAGAAAGTTTAGTTTTGGGCTGCTAACATAAAAATAATTAGTTAGTTACCCTTTAAGCTTTGTAAGAGGGAAGAGTTTCTCCATTTGTCGCTTGAAATAACATGTCCGTAAGGAGGAACCGCGTTCAGCAGAACAGGCGCTTTGGTCTCCATGAAGACACACAGACAAAAAACTGCCTAAAAGTCCCAATTTGTTTCAGTTAAAATAGAAAAATAACCGTCGTAGTAGAGCTTATGACATTATCGTTCAATGACAAGTGTGTTAAGTTTTGTTTTGTTGCCTCCAAAACGTCCAAATCTCTTCTTCTTCTTCCTTTGCTTTTCTGTTACGCATAGACAGCGGACGCCTTTTTGTCGCCCCCTGTAGGATCGGCGGTAAAGCACATAGTCAACAAATCACTCTCCAGCTCTCCAGACGACTTTTTAAAACGTACATAAAACATTAATATTAAAGTCTTTGCATATTACTTAGGCCTATATAAAAATGGGCAATTAGTCACTATAAGACGGTGGCCCTAATGGTCAAATTCAAAAACAGTTAATGGTTGCAAAAATACATTTTACCATCCGCCAAAATGAAAAAATATTTCATGAACCATAAATACATAAAAACAAATTTCATTTCTTTCTAGAAACATCTTAAACATTTCACTGACTGCCAAAGAACCCATTAAACTTTTGCAAAAATGTTTACATTGAAATATAAAATATTTATTGCATACGTTTTCATTTACCAAAGGTGAAATATTTTTGCATTTTGAAATATTTTAAACAGAAGGTGAAATATAATATCTAATGGTTGGTTTGCGTGCCAAATGTACAGAGGCCACTGTCCTCGAATTGGGTGGCTTGGGATCGAGTCGCTGACTTCCCACACTGTCCTGTCTCTCAAATAAAGGCCCAAAAAAAGAAAGACAAAAAAGAAGGCAAAATATTTTTCATTTAGTGAAATGTTTTTCACAGAGGTCGACATATTTTTTTTGCAGGTGAAATATTTTTGCAACTAATAAAATATTTTTTTGCTTAAATTAAATTTTCCAGAAGGTGAAAATAATTTGCAGAAGGTAAAATATTTTTTGCAATTAATAAAATATTTCTTTTGCACAATTAAAAAAAAAATGTCACAGGAGAAATATTTGTAGGCGATATTTCTTTCGGCAAATAAAATAAATAAATAAATGAAGAACCAATACAATAATCTTCATGACCACCAGGTGAATTTGAAAGTCATTCTGCGACCGTAAACATCCCTGTAACTTGTGAAAATCACGCGTGTGTTTTTGTTTCATTTTTTGTTGTGAGTACAATATTTTCAGTCTTATGTGAATATTTTGGTTGTATATGATGTTGCGCTCTTGTCTAAAGTTATCTCTGTCTGTCTGTCTGTCTATCTATCTATCTGTCGCTATCTATCTATCTATAGCTCCATGGCGATCTCAATCGTCTCCATAGCGACCGCTATCGGTCAGAAAAGGAAGTACACCACCTTTTCCAATGCACCAACCGCTGCCGGCCACATTATCGGAAACAAATAGGAAGGTTTAACAGGTAAAACAAGACTTAAATAAAACAAATGTATTACACAAACATTTCATACATTCACATGCAAAGCCCCGTTCATCCGGGTACTTTTTTAATTACATTTGTAGGCGAGTTAAAGCTAGTTTATCTTGACGCCGGTTGGCTAGCTAACAGCTTCTTCACCTTCACGTTGGTTCGTTATTTATACGTTGGTATTTGAAGCTGTAAATCAATAATTTAAGTCGTGTTTTCTGTTTCTTGTGTTGTTTTAGTGCCGCTGTGTTTGTCGACGAGCTCGTACACGATGCTGAAAATATTAATTTTGAAGGTAAGTGAGCTTTTCACCGACTAATCACCAAAGTTCGCTAAAT